TCCTTCCCTCCCTCCCTCCCTCCCTCCCTCCCTCCCTCTCAGCTTCCCTCTCTCTCTCAGCGGTTTGTGCGTGAAGGGGTGGAGAGTTCCGTTCAGGCTCGGCCCCAAAACGTAATACATGGGTTTGGCCTAGCGTGTGCGAAGTGCACCTTCCCTGTCTCATTCTCGCTCTTCTTATATCCCTCCTTCCCTCCTCCCTCCATCCATCCGCTCATCAGTTCAGGGCTGCGACTCCATCTTTTGTGGGAGTGCTATGTTGCACGTGGGACAGGATTTGTGCACGATAAGGAGTAGGCGGGGATCATGCCGTGAATGCGGATAGGCAGGGGGAGAAGGGACACTAGGGGAAGGTCAAGTGCCTGGTCAGGCAGGCAGGAGAAAGTCGCCATCGAAATCGTGAGGGGCTGGACTAGCAGGAGAAGGACGAAAGTGGAGGTTGAGGATGCGGGATCAGGAGGATGGGAGGGTCGGGATTTGGTCGGTTGGGATTGGATGCGACGACACAGGAAGCAGGAGGGTTACCGCGATAGGGTGAAGGATGGAGGGTAAGTTTGCCGGCGTTAAGGACGTTGTGGATGAGCAAGGGGAACATGTAAGGAAAGGAGAGAGCAGGATAATGACGAAGGGCCTGAATCACAGAAGGATATGTAGATATGCAGGTGATGGACAGACAGCAACGAAGAGAAGGACAGAGAGCAACGAAAGACAGGGGAAGAGAGGAAAAGACATACGAGAAAGACAGAGGAAGACAGAAAGGACATACGAGATCTGCAGGGGCCTCGTCGAGTATTGGAGGCGCAGGAGCTCGAAGAAGATCCCAACGGGGGAGACAGGCGTGTAGAAGGACGGGAAGAGAGAGGCGACAGACACAGGACAAGGAGAGAAAAGGATGGGGAAAAGTGGATTGGTGGGGGGATGACCGGGAGGCGGGGTGGAGGGCACAAGCTGAAAAAGTCGAACAGGCGGAAGGGAGGCAACGGAGAAGGAAGAGAGGGAAAAAGGCCAGCGGGTAGGGGAAAAGAGAAGAGAGAGAGAGAGAGAGAGAGAGAGAGAGAGAGAGAGAGAGAGAGAGAGAGAGAGAGAGAGAGAG